CCACACCCCCACCCCCACCCCCACCCCACCCCATGTTCATTCGGAGACCTATCTGGATATTTTTGATGAAGATGGTTTTTTTTTAAATTTAATTCAAAATAAGTGAATTTTAAAATCCAGAAACCTTCTTACAGAAAATAAATATTAATTGCTTATCCTTTCTTATCTCAGAAATAAACAATGTGGAACAATGTCAAATTGCTATTGAAAAAGCTATTTCAAAGTTCATATTGTTTTACTTATCTTTAATGTCTTACCTTAACTTTATTCAGGATATTCTAATCATTTGCTTGCTCGATATACATTAGCCAAAAAACAGCATTTTGCATTATTACCTTATATCCATACAAAAGTTTCTGATGCTCTTGAGAACCCATCCATAAAATGGTGAAGATTGATTATTTTTAGGGTATAGTTCAAGTTCTTACATCATATAAGTTGTCATAGTTTTACTCATCAAAATGTTTTACACTATTGTTAAGTTTTGTGCTTCATGATTGTATTTTTGACATGACAATTTTTTAATTATTCTGTACTTACTTTCTGATTTGCTCATTTACTTTGAGATTAAAAACTGAGCATGCAGGTGGAAAAAGGTGACAGTTGATTTCTATGTATGATATGTTTTATATATCTTTTGCAGAGGATTTTTGTTTCTAATCTTCTCTATTATTACTAGAAGAACTAGTGAGAGGGTTTTATTAGAAGTGGACCTTTGCACTTATTCCGTGAATGGTAATGTAATATTGTTTTAGTTTTCGTTTACATTTATATTCAACGTCAACATTTACCTTTATATTTGTGCCTTTATAATCATACTACATTTTTATAATTTTTTACTTCTTAGCTTGCTCAGAAATATGTTAGCCAAAAAACAGCATTTTGCATTATTACCTTATATCCAAACAAAAGTTGCTGAAGGTGAGGACGGATAATATTTTAGGGCATAGTTCAAGTTCTTACATCATTTAAGTTGTCAAAGTTTTACTCAAGACAGTTGACAGTTGATTTCTCTGTATGATATCTTATGATCTTCTGCAGAGGATTTTTGTTTCTAATCTTTTATATTATTACTAGAACTAGTGAGAGGGTTTTATTAGAATAAGTCCTTTGCACTTAACAAGGAAATTATTCCATGAATGGTAATGTAATATTTTTAATATTTTTTAGTTTTCTTTTTCATTTTTCACTTAATTTTTTCACACATTTTGGATTTTTATGCATTTTTAACCAAAATCACATGTTTACATTACCTTTATATGGGATTTTATACAGTTGTAATCCTTCACGTTTCACTGTCTTCTTTTGTTCTATGCTTGCTGTGCTGAATAAAACTAAGTAGATCAACTTGATCTACTAAAAAGGCAGATTCCTTTTCATCCTTTTGGTCCTGACAGTAATCCAGAGGCACCTTCAACCACTTCTCAGTAAGGCCCCTTGTTATCTAACTATTCCCTCATATGTCAGATATGGTAATCTATGTCCTGCAAGAGAGGGTGTAGTGTCAGAGTCACTGCAGCCATGGTTCAACTTCTAGGAGGAGAATAGACTTCTTTAACACATACTGATTCATACAGACAATAAAAAGTTACTAATTATTATTTAACCAGTGATTAGAGACACTGTTAGTTATAATCACTGGATCTGTTTGCTCAAATCCGAATTGGCCATGTGATGTAAAAAGGTCTCTGATTGGTTGGAGAGCTAACCAGTCATATCGGGGGTTATTTACAAGTTGTATTTTTAATGCCTTTAAAAACATGAAATTAAGGAAATGCTTTATTCCTTTTCCTGTGACCTCCCTGGTCCTCCATACAAAGCTATCATACAACAAACTATTAAAACACTTTAAAAAATGAATTGCACTGTCAGATGCTTTTGTAGAAACAGTTGTACATTATTATAAAACTGACACTGCAAATGTGACAAAAAAAACCCCATTAGTTTTCCAGTCTAAAACTGCATCATACAAGTCTAACAGGTCTAGTCTTCTGCCTGAGCAA